CCCACCAAGTCCCAAACCCAGCAGGGGAACCACACATCTGGATCCAGCCTCAAAAACCCCCCTTCCCAGGAGCCCCAAACCCGTTTCTAAGGCTCTCCCCGCTCCCCTCCGTGGAGCCGCATGGGACAGAGGTCTCACACGTATGCCATCCCTGTCGGGTCTGGGGATCAAAGGGCACGCTCACAGGTCCTGTGGTTGGCAGAAGACAGAGCCAGAGATACTTCCTTCTGGCCTGTGCTGCCATTCCCAACGGAGCTGCACCTGCTGGCAGGGCCAAGTCCAGATCCCAGGCCTCTGCCTGGCGGTGACCCCTGCCTGGGGCTGACCAGGTCACTCAGGATGTTTGTGTCCAGTGAGGTGACCATCGGGCAGGAGGTAACTCCTAGACAACTCAACCCACTGCCAGCATGCTTTTCTCCATCCCCCAAAGAGATGGGTTCCACAAACCCTGCAGGTCTGGAATGCAGTGCTGAGACAAGGGAACAGCATCCTGGGGGCATTGGGGAGCCATGGTTGTTTGAGAACTCTGGAGTTATATGCCCGGAGCTGGGAGCTGAGAGGTAAGCAGTCCTGAGCTGTGTTTTCTTTTTTTGTTTGTTTTAATTTTTTTATTTTTGAGAGGCAGAGAGGCAGCGCGCATGCGTGCGGGAGTGGGGGTGGGGAGTGCAAGCAGAGGCCGAGGGAAAGGGAGAGAGAGAAAATCTTAAGCAGGCTCCACGGTGGGCCCCAAAGCAGGGCTCGATCTCACGACCCTGAGATCATGACCTGAGCCAGAACCAAGAGTCGGATGCTTAACCGACTGAGCAACCCAGGCACCCCTCGAGCTGTGTTTTCTAAGAAGGGCCCAAGCTTGGTGGGACCGGGGAAAGGACCGGGCATGAGATACCACGGGGAGAGGCGTGGGGTGGGGGACTGGACTGGACCCAGAAAATAGCCTAGGAGCAGGCCCTCCTGTGGTTTGTCCAGGCACCTTGGGAGGGACCGCAGGGCCAGGGAGGAGTGAGGTCCAGGAAGGCTTCCCTGGCTTGGAGGACTCCCGGGGTAGGACAAAGAGGGAAGGTGGAGGCATCCAGGCAGAGGACAGACGAACTGTACCCCCAAAAGCTTCAGACAAACCAGAGCCCCCAGGACAACTCCTCGGTCGGGCGCAGCCCCCCCCCCGGTAGGCAGGGAGGCCCCAGCCGGAATGCCAAGTCTACTTGCCCCTTCTGCACTTAAAAGCATGTGCAAGATCTGATCAATGAATCAGCAAAGAGGTGAAGCCTGCCCCGGGCTTACCAATAATCCCAAACATGGCACAGGACTGCTCTCCCATCCCCATCGCCCACAGCCGCCAGGGACCCCAAAGCACAGAGCGACTACGGGAGGCCCCGGGGGTGGGGAGACGATGCTCACCAGAGGTTACGGTGCACTGTAGCCCGGTCAATGCCTTCACCCACAGAGCTAAGGGCTCACGCAGGCAGCTCTACCCCAAAACCCGTTCACGTGACAGAGGGCTTGGCAAAAGCAGGCAGCAGGGCTGGGTGGGGCTCAAGGCCCTTGGCCAGCTCCCTGCTGACGGTCCTCAGTCTCCTGACTCAAAGGCCGAGCTCCAGGCTGGGAGGGGGAGGTGGCCGCTTGGCCTCTGACCCCTCTCTGACCTACTCTCAGGCCCCCAGCGGAGCCCCACGTGGAACAGCCTCCTGGGTTCCCTGTTCTTTTTTGTTGTTGTTTTTTTTAAGATTTATTTATTTGAGAGAGAGAGCTCCAGTGGGGGGGACGGGCAGAGGGAAAGAGAGAGAAGCAAATTCCCTGCTGAGCACACCAGACATGGGGCTCCATCTCACGACCCTGAGATCACAACCTGAGCCGAAATCAAGAGTCAGTGGTCAGGGGCGCCTGGGTGACTCAGTTGGTTAAGCGGTTGCCTTCGGCTCAGGTCATGATCCTGGAGTCCCGGGATCGAGTCCTGCATCGGGCTCCCTGCTCGGCGGGGAGTCTGCTTCTCCCTCTGACCCTCCCGCCTCTAGTGCTCTCTCTCTCTCAAGTAAATAAATAAAATCTTAAAAAAAAAAAAAGTCAATGCTCAACTGACTGAGCCACCCAGGTACCACTGGTACCCAGGGCTCCCCATTCCATTGCTTCCTGTCCCTACCCCCACTCTTAGGAGCTCAGCAGTTAAGAGCATGGGCTCCAGAGTCCACAGCCTGAGTTTGAATCCTGACCCTGCCATGTTCTAGCTGTGTGACCTCAGGCAAGTCACTTAACCTCTCTGTGCGCCTCAAGGCACTCATCCGTAAGATGAAGATCTTAAGTCTACCCACTTAGGGTTGTCAGGAGGGCTAGGAGCCTGAGCTCAATTAGTGTTCCCTGTTTGTGTTGTGATCCTCTACCCCAGCTGCCAGGGGGAGCTTTCGACATACAACCCAAGCATAGCACTACCCTGCTCCCATCCCCCCAAAACTCCCCACTGCCTCCAGGACCCAGGCCCTCTACCCTTCTGGGAGCTCGAGGCCTACTTGGCCCACCTCTCAACCCTCTTTCCTCTCAGGGGACCTGGAGACCTTCGGGGCCTGCCCTTCCCACCCCCACGTCACTCTCTCTAGACCTTGAATCTGCCTCGTTCCAAGGGCAGGGTAAGAGCCTCAAAAGTAGGCCTGGCCTCTGAGCGTCAAATTCCCCTCCCAGAGCCTCCGCCTATGGAACTAGAGAAGGATCCATCCAGGCAAAGATTGGCCTGGGGGTCCACTGCAGTACAGTTAATGAGAACAAAACAACGTGGATGTCCATCAGTGGGGGACTCGGTGGATAAACCAGGGAACTTGATTGTTGTCTGGCTGTTGACACGGAACAAAGCAGGTTACAATCTGCTGTGAGCCAACGGACCCTATCCTAATTTATAAAGGTATAGATTAGCAATTGCCTGGGGCTGGGTGTGGACCAGGGAGCAGTTGTAAGTTGGCAAGAGGGATCTTTAAGGTGGTGATGAAAATGTTCTAGAATCAACTGGTGATGGCCACACAACTTGGTCAGTGTAACAACTTATTGTACACTTGAAATGGGTAAATCTTATGGCAGGTAAATTATACCTCAATGGTGGTGTTTTTAAAAAGCAGATCACGAATATACAACCATTCCAAGAAAAAAAACAAAACAGACACACACACGAAAACAATCCCCCACATAATTAACAGAGCTTATCTCTGCATGACTGGTTTAAGGAAGATTTTATTTTCTTCTTTTTGCTCACCTGCACCTTCTAATTTTTCTACAACGCAAAGAGATTTGTTGTGTAATTGGGGGGAAAACGGAAAGTTTGGATAAAAACCGAGAAATCTCCCGCTGTGGTGGGCAAACTTCACGCCCACCCCAGGAAGAGGCTCCAGTCGTCCCCCTTCTCTCCCAGATTAGAGCGGGAGCCTAATTGCCCCCACCTCCCAACGGCTGCAGGGGCCCGGTCTTTGGGCCTCGGGACATAATGCTTCTGTAAACGAGTCAGTGAGAAAGGTCTATGCCAGAGCCGTGGCCCTGATACAGCAGCCCTCAGTCCACTGTCCCAATTCCCCTAGGAAGGGAAGCATTCGTATCCCGAGTGGGAAACTGAGGCTCAGGTTGAGAGAGCTTGGGCAGGATGGCAAAGTGAGTGACTAGTGTCCAGATTCAAGTCCTGACCCCAAAGCCCAGGTCCTCACCACCTGGTCACGGAGCCTTTCAGGCTGCACTACTGGGCCCAGGGCTTGTGGAACTGTGAGTGGAGTCGGCTCGGATCTCCCCAGGGTCTGGGCTTTGGGGTCCCTCACTCCAGCGCACAGTGATGGAGAAGGCTGCTTTGGAAAAGCCCCACAACCAGGGTCTCTCCTCCCGGGCCCTCCCCTTGCCTGGCCCATGGGGAAGGTGAGCTGATAAGGCCCCAGGCTAGCAGCCAGCTGGGCTAACACGCAAGACTGCAGTAGGGAAGGAGCGAGTGGCTTAGATGTGTCTGTTTTGCCAACCCCAGGTGGCCACAGGCTCCATGGACACGTCTGTCCAGGTGGTGGGAGGTTTAAGTCCTGCGCTCTTGGCCTCGGGTTCCCCGTCGACCAAGTGCCACTTAGCCAGTGTTGCCGAAACTGCAGAGCAACCGTGGAGGGCCGTTTGCTGGGGGCTGTGGTTTGCCCTGTCTACACAATGGGGTACCTGCCGTCCCCAAACCCCTCCTCCGTCTAGCAAACAAGATGCTTTCAAAGATGTGTGTAAACCCGCGCCGCGGCTGCCTGGGCAAACATCCCTCCCCGCCGGTCCCGGGGCTGACCCTCAAGTCTCGGCCCAAAAGTCGGCTCAAAGAGGTCTCACCCCACCCCTGCTCCACCCCAACGCGCAACTAAACATCCGTTTGCGGGTTTTCTGGAGGATTTCCGTGCTCCTGAGAAAAGGGGGAGCCCAGGTCGGTCTGTGAAGCGCCCGTGCCGAGAACGCGGCTCGGTATGGAGTAGCTGCTCAATAAAGGTGTGCCCAAGCGATGCCCATCTAGGACTAGGAGAACCGGACGGGGGCGGGAGGGAAAGAGAGAGGGAGGAGGGACCAGAGGAAGCGCCGCGCGCACGCGCAGGAGCTCCGCGCCGAGCTGAACTCTCGGGCCGGAGGGAATGACCGTGAGTAACCCCGCGCTGACGTCAGGGCTGGGGCAGGGGCGGGGCCTCGGCGACGCCCAGGTCTCCAGGCTTGCGGCGGCCGCCACTGGGTTAAGAACTCACTGGCCGCGCCGCGCGGGGCCCCGGACGCCCAGAGGCGCACGTGCCCGGCCGGGAGCCTCCAGGGTACCCGGCGAGGCGCTGCCCGAGACGCCAGGGCGGGTGCAGGGAGGCTCGGCGCGGTCTGGACAACGGGGCCCACAGCGCACTGCCCAGAGGCGCGGGGAAGTCCCCGCGCACACAGCACGGAGCCGGTGCCCGCGCCCCGCGCCCCGAGCCGGCCCGGGAGACAAAGGCGGGATGCCGCCGGCGAGCCACGCTCGCGCGGAGCCCGGCCGGCCCTTGACGTACCTTCGATGTCGGTCAGCAGGGCCGCGTCCAGCTCGCACGGCTCGGCCAGCGCCTGCTCCAAGGCCGCTTCGCTGAAGGGCGGCTCGTCCATGGCGCAGTCGCCTCCTCCGGGCGGCCCGCCGGGCCCGCCGCCGCGTACGGACCTTCGCAGGGAGCGCCGCGTCCGCCGGCCCCGGCCCGCTGTCGCCTATGCGCGCGTTCGCGTCCCGTCCTGGCCCCGGTGGCGGCCCGGCGCCCGCGAAAAGTTCCTCGGAAACTGGGTTCCCCCGCTGTGGCTCTGCAGGGAGGGCGGGGCGGGGGCGGGGCCCTGTCGGGAGGCCCCGCCCTCCCGGGTAGACGGGGCCCCACCCCACCTGGAGAGAGCTGGGACCGGCTGCAGGGTCTGCCTCGCCAGCCTACCCCCAACCGGCCCCTCCATCAGTGTGCCCTCCACTCATTCATTTTATCCAGCCTCTGGCACAGCAGCGTCTGGCCCACTGCTGCGGGAGCGCTCGGGCAGGCCATGAGCCTTCCCTGGGCCTCAGTTTCTCCCAACACCAAGCAAGGGGGCTGGGGGGAAGCGCCAGGACAGGGCCTGTCCCAGAGGTCTCTGGACTTGGGGCTGGAGGGGGGTGGAGTCTGGACAAACCTCACTTCCTAGATTTGGCTCTTTAGAACGAGACAGATCTGTCCAAGCGATAGCTCTGTGCTGTCGGGCCAACTCTGTCCTCAATTTCATCAGCTGTAAGTGGAGCTTGGTGATGCTTCTCCACAGGCTGGTTGGGATGTTAGTGATTATGGGGGGGGGGGGGCGCTGGGCCTGTGAGATCAGCCTGCTTCCCTCCCCCCCAGTTTCCTTAGATCAGATTGGTCTCCCGATAAGGGGGTAGCCCAAAGGGAGCCTGGAAGAGACTTGAATTTCCCTTCCCGATTTAATCTGGTTTCTTCCCAGATCCAGTTGTGGTGACCGTAGAGGGGTTTGGCAGCCAGTGGACCCAGTCCACCCCGGGAAGTAGGCTGGCCTCAGTACCCAGGAAGACAGGAAGACCCAGAGTTCTAATTGCCCAAGCACACAGCTGCTCAGGAACAATGACAGGGTTGGGCCCCAGGGCTATCTGACTTCAACCTTGGTGCTCACCCTTGGGAGCAGGCAGGATGGCGGACACAAGGAAGAGGTGGGCTGTGCTTTAGACTTGAGCCAGGTTGCCCTGGATCATGACAGGCTGGGTCTGGGTCAGAGGAGGCAGCTTGGCTGGGAAAATGGCTGGAGACTGAACCCTGGGCCCTGTGGACTGGCGACAGAGCTAGGTGGCAGGGATGGGGTCCCACCGAGGTGCATAGAGATAAACTAGAACATTTGAGTATCTTGAAACTGGAAAGGCAGTGAGCTTCCTGTCTCAGGAATTATGCAAGCAGACAAAGGTACCCTTGGTGGAGGGCAGCCAAGAAGACCCATCAGAGGTCTAGACCCCCAGTCTCTCCTAGCCCCTGGCCTCAGTGAGTCATGCCATCCCAAATACTGTCTCGCTCAGACTCCAGATACAGCCTGTCTGGCCATGCCTTCTGAGGGAGTTAAATTACTGGTGCACTTTCAAAGGGGGGTGCCTTGGCCAGGAGAGGACTTGGGAGGCCCAAGTTCCAAGGGCTCGGCCTGTACGTGCAGCTCTCTTTGTTCGCCTCCTGGAAGTGGCCGCTGTGGACAATTACCCAGAACAGGAGCCATGGGGGTCTCCAAACCACATCTCCCCCCACCACCCAAGTGGCCCTGCTCTGGGATCCACCCAGGGATCCAGATGAACTTCTCCTGGGGAGCACAGAGGGATCTGGCTTCTCCTCAGCCATCTTTCATCCTGTCCCCCTACCCCAGACCCTACTGCCCAAGCAGGAGCCAAGCACCCAGGAGGCCTTGGGAGTCTGGTGACTTCCCTGAAAATCCTAACAGCCCTTCTCAGGGAGAGGAGTGGGGAGAGGAGTGGGTGCTGAGTAGAGCCTCTAAAGACCACATTTTCCAGAGTCAGGAATCTGGTCTGGTTTTTCACCCGTTTGCTGTGTGACCTGGAACCACGTACTTCCCTTTTCTGAGTCTCAGCTACTAGATTGGAAAATGAGAATAACCCTTCCCGCAGTCACTGTGCAGAGGCAGGTAAGGTGTGTTGGAGTCAACATCACAGCAGAGCTGCCCCACTGTTCTTTAAAAATGAGTTTACCACATATGTAAAGAGCATGGTTCAATAAATATGCATGTCATAACTGCAGGAGTGAAGGGAAAGAGGGTAAGGCAAGGTCAACAGGAGCCCTGCCGCCCAGACTAGAAATGCCAATTGAAACTGAAGCCCGGCCATGAGGCATAGTTGGGGTGGGGGGTGCTTTAAATCTTTGCAACCAAAGGGACAAAACTTCGCTTTGCGGCGTCAGATTACCAGGGCAATTCTCAACGTGAGAGTGGGGAAAGACAGGATGGGGCGACAGTTCTTCAGGGAAACCTTCTCTTGGTGGTTCCTCCCCCTAAAGAGCCTGAGACCCCTAAACAAGCCCCCCAGGCCCCTCTTGGTCGGGGTGATCCGAACTCACACAAGGAGTGTGTGCCAGGGCACTGAGGGGCACAAGCCATGGTGGGGGGCCCCTCTGCCCCGGTGTGCCTAGTAGGGGGCAGGGGTCCCAGCCTGGCCACCCGTGACGCTGGCAGGCCGTGTCTGCCCGGGGAAACCACCTTTGAGCGCTTACCAGAATTAACCCATGTATTCCTCCCAACAGTCCCAGGGGGACTGGGCTGCTATTCCCATTTGACAGATGAGGACACCGAGACCCGGGGAGGTAAAGTGACTTGCCCACGACCTCACAGCTGTTGCCCCTGATTTCGTCACGGTGCAGGCTCCTCACCCAGGGCCTGGCAGCGGCCGGAGACCCAGGGGAGTTGGGGCGCCGAGCCAGACAAGTCCCGCCCCCGCGGGCCGCGGCGCAGCCAATGGGCGCCCGGCCCCGAGTGGGGTGACGCGGCGTCAGCGCGAAACTCCCGGGAGCCGGGCCCTGGGTCACATGCGCCGCGCCCGTTCGACCCGGGGGGTGGGGCGGGACCGCGGTGCGGACTGGCAGGGTCTGGACCCCTGGGACCAGCTGGGCCGGCTCTTCTCGGCCAGGCCTCCAGGCCAGACACCTGGCTGGGCCCGCCGCCAGGTGTGCGTCCGGACACGGGGGCGGGGCTGACGTGGGACGGCCCCGCCCCCTGCCCAGGGCCCCTGTGGGCCCTTGGCTCTCGGGCCAGGAGGCGCGCCCAGCTCCCAGAGGCGGGACTCCGCTCAGCTCACCCAACTGTGAAATAGGGGCACGCATCTCCCCCCTTACCTCCCCAGACGTCTTAGGGACTGACAGGCATCTGTGGGTTCCGAGACATTTGGGGCGGGTGTCCAGCCCGGAAGCGGGCAGGGCCTCTTTCAAGGCTACTCGTCTTGGCGGAGCTCAGGGGTGGGTAGAGGGGCAGGCACTGGAGTTGCCAGGGCTGCTGGCACCGGGCAGGAAGGCTGGGCTTGGCCACCCATACGGAGACCCCTCCCCACTCCAGGAGCCCCCCTGCAACCCCGCCTGCCCCCGATTATCCTTCATTTCTGCGGTAGCTAAGCTAGGACCTGCCCAGGTTATGGCCAAGGGGGCCAAACAGCACAGAGCCAGCCTGGAGCCTCAGTTTCCCCCCTTCTGGACCTAATGGAACCGGATGGCTGTTGACATGGATGATTCTGGTCCTTAGATGACCCTGTATTCTCATTCCAGGTTGGCCTCTGCTGTGTGCTGGGCAAATTGTTTCTAGCCCTCTCTGAGCTGCTTTGGGTCAGCTTTGCCATTCATGGTGGTCACCTCTGGGTTCATCAGTGAGTCAATTCAATAGACACTCCACCAAAGATCTGCTGGTCACCAGTTCTGCTCCTCTGTGAGGGGTGAAGCTGACAGCCATGAAGAATGAGGGGGCACATCTGTCCCCTGGGTGTTAACCGGCTATCTGGGGTGAGGCCAGGTGTAGATTGAGGGGGTGGGTTGAATTGGCGGCAGGGAGAATGGGGACCTCAGACATCCCCTGACCTCTACATGCCAAATCCAACTCTACATGTGCTCTGATTTTGAATTAATTGTCAAATACAGAAGATTCCATCCGAAGGCTGGATTTCTGGCTTTTCTTGGAAAATGGGAGTATTGAGCAACACGGGGCTCAGCAACTGGAGTGCCCCTTTAGCCAGGGCTGTGGGCATCCCCACTGTCCCCATCAGTCCCTGGGTATCACACCTGGACCACCCCACTTGTAAATGAGTATAAGAAAAAGGCCCCTGCAGGTGTTGGGCTTACCACCCGTGATCCCACTTTATAGATCGAGGGAGTATACACCAGAGAGGAGCAGTGACTTGTTCAGACACCTGCAGGGGAGCCTGCCACCCCTGGTAGGGTGCTCTTAGAGTGGACATGGGGGTGGGGAGGAGATGGCACCAGGCAGAGGAGACCACTCGGTTTCCAGAAACATCCCACTGACCCCCTAGTGCTGAGAGCAGAGATTTTGCTTCCTGGGATGCCGAGGGCCTGGGCTTGGAGGCCCTGGCCAGACTCCTCTGAGGGCAAGACCTGGCAGAGGCTCCTTGGAAATAAACTGGAATTTCTGGGGGACTCATGCCTATTCAAGTCCTTTTGTTCTGCCCACCTCTGGTCCCTGGGGACCCTAAAGAGACCTTTTTCTTGGAAAGGAGGTGGGCTGGAAAAAGACTCTCCTCAGGTGCTTCAGTGTGGGACTAGCGAGCAGGGGGACTGTGAACCATGATAAGACCCACAGTGTTCCCGCACTGCCCCCTCCAGATCTCTGGAGAAGGCAGCTGTCGCTGGAAAGCAGCTCCTCTCAGGCTCCAATGAGGGGAGGCAACCAAAGGTTGATGAGGGAGCACTGAAAGAGGAATCCAGAAACTTGTCTCTGTCCAAGTCTCCACCCCTCAGTGTGCACTCCCATCTCTGGGCCTCTCCACTCACACAGTAGTGGCCATCTAATGCCTTCTAAAAAAAATTTTTTTAAAGATTTTATTTTTAAGTAATCTCGACACTCAACATGGGGCTCAAACTTACAACCCTGAAATCAAGAGTCACAAGCTCCGCGTATTGAGCCAGCCAGGTGCCCTGCCTCCTCAGATTTCATCTTCCCTCTGCGAACAGTCTGGTTTTTCAGAGTGGGTTCTGGAACTTTGTTGGAACTACTGCGAGAGCAATACCCTCTCTCTGCTAGTGGAAAGTCAGCCCGGAGCTGCAGGCGGCCCTTAGTCAACCACATGGAAGAGCCAACCCAGAGGAAGCAGATTCCTAACCAAATCCCTAAGCATCTGGATCCAGCTATGCCTGAAGCTGAACTATCGGAACTTTTGTTGCATAAGCCAAGAAATTCCTCTTTCTGATTAAATCAAACATCTTTTTACCACAACTTAAGCTCCAGTATAGCATCTCTAAACAAGGAATTTGGGCCACAAACTACCTTTATCTTGGACAAAGAGATCTTGACACTACATAACTTTACTTCAGCATTTCCCAAATGTCTCTCTCCACAGAACCCCTCCTTTTTAGGAACAGCTGTTAAGGTACTGGGGAAATGCATCTTGGCAAGTGGCTGCCAGGGATCTTGCGGTCCCTCCGAGGAGGCGTGTCTGTTAGGTCAGAGTTGCCTCACCACCCTCTCCCTCCCCTGTGGCTGGCCTGCCCATTGCAACTTCATGCAGGCAGTTACTCTGGGCCTTGGCTGCTCCCTCAGAGCCCCCACCCCGCCCCGTAAGCTCTGGAAGAGGGCTCCAGTGCTTCCTGGCCGCAGAGTGTCCTTGATTCTGGGAACTGAACCAGGCTGTGAGCTCTCTGAGGGGAGGACTCAAGCAGCCCCTCCCCTCCAGCACCAACCCGGCACAGCAGGCTCTCAGAAACATGTGCTGAAAGCGGACGGGGTGTCCTGGCAAGTCCACAGCGCTTATCTCAGGGCCAAGCCACTCTCTACAGGGCAGGAACAGAGCTCAGGCCTCTTTTGGCACCCACGGTGCCTCGAACAGGGCCAGGGGCGGAGAACGGGCTCAGGATCCATGCCTTCTATTCACCAGGACCGGAGACTGGGGGGTCTCCCACACTTCAGAGGCCCACTCCCACACTCCCCTTGCTGTGGGAGCCTCTATCTCATTCAGATTGGCCAGAAACAGGCAGAGCCCTCACAGATGTCCCTAGAGCCCACTGAGGCAACAGGCTCAAGGGAGCTGGGTGCTGCTGCATCACCTGGGCTGGTGATGGTCCCAATGTGGCCCCCAATCAGGGTCCCACCCTGCCTCCTATGAGGAGGCAGGGCAGCCCCCTCCTGAGTTCTCTCCCCACAGGGCTGGTGTTCCAGGTGGGATAGGATGGCCTCCCCTGCTGCCCACCCCTCCATGGCCATGGCCTAGGAGGCCCAAGGTCTGGGTTGGAGCGTTGGCCCCATTGCCAAGCCCTGGGCAAACTTAGTGAAGTGGGTCTTCCCAGCCCTGTCTCTTCACCTGCACACAACAGGTTAGGTAGACGTCCCTGCAATTTTTCCCAGCTCACCTGGGGGCTTGAGGAGCCCACCATGCTTGAGGTCCATCCTCGAACCCCGGAACCTGTAAGGATTAAAGGGCTCCCAGCCTCCTCTGAGCCACTGAAGACATGGGCACCATGTGGCCCCCCCAATGCGCCCCTCAAGGGCCCCTGCGCCTCTGGGCCTGCTGAGGCCTGCATCCCAGAGGACCGTGGCCTGGCAGCAACCCCAGGGTGGCCAGCTCGCAGGACAGGTGGAGAGAACAGAAACCTTTTAAATTTTTCTAAGTTTATCTCCACACCCAATATGGGGCTCGAACTCATGGCCCCAAGATCAAGTCGCATGTTCCACAGACTGAGCCAGCCAGGCGCCCCCAGAAACCTTTTTAAAAGGGAGACTGGGTTGGAGGGTGTGGGGAGATGGGGGGCGGCGATTACTGATGAAATGCTCTAAAATTGATTGTGGTTGATTGTTGCACAACTCTTGTGAAAAACTAAAAACTACCCAGCGGCACCTGGGTGGCTCAGTCGGTGAAGCACTGGACTCTTGATCTCAGCTCAGGTCTTGATCTCAGGGTCGTGAGTTCAAGGCTCACACTGGGCTCCGTGCTGGGTGTGGAGCCTCCTTAAGAAAAGCAAAAAATAAAAATAAAAGCTACTTAAATCGTGTACCTTAAATGGGTGCATTTTACGCTATGTGAATCCTATCTCGAGAAGGCGGTTTCTAAGACTGGGGGTGGGGGGTGGGGGGAGGGGGGTTCTTCGAACAGCACGTCTCAAATTCAGTGCCCAGCACAAGCCATACGGATAATTCGGAGGATGCCCAGCCAAGTTCGGGCAGCGCGGCTGAGGGGGGCTGAGGCGGTGGGGCCGAGTGCCTGGGACCCTGGAGGAGACACGGGAAGCAGCACAGGCCCTGGGAGAGCTCTCAGGCAGAGGCCATGGCAGGTTTCCAGCTGCTACAACGAGCACCCCGCAACCAGGCTGTGTGTGCCCCAGTAGAGCGGAACTGGGACCAGCATGGGGATTTTCCTCTAGCCCAGACTCCCCTGGCCCTGCTCCCGCAGCCCGGGCACGCTTGGGGGGCGGGGGAGAGTGGGGCAAGCTGCCCAAACTGCTCCCTCTAGAGGCCCCCCCAGGTGGCCCCCCCTCTAAGCAGGGGGCCAGAATGGGCAGGCCCTTTGGACCGTCGCAGCCGACTCCACAGAGATCACAGAGTAACAGTTTGTTCGTTTCTTTATTGTGGAGTATTTTACATGCAAGAACCCAAACTACAGAGACAATATCTGGAAGGAGAGCCAGTGGGTGGATGGACGCGCTCAGCCTTGAGGGCACCGACCCGCCCTCCAGACCCGGCTCTGCCCGCAGAAACGCACAACAGCAACAGAACGTCAGACTCCGGGGACAGCTGGACAACAGACACGACACAGTTCTCTCCGCGGTAGCCCCCAACGATCCTGAGGCCCTCGCAAATTAAGTGCAAACTTTAGGAAATAAATCTCCGCCCCCCGTTCCCCACATGAGCGGGTTGACAGCTGTCCCCGGGGGCTGCTGGCTGCAGGGGAAGCCCGGCGTGGACCCCCCTGCACAGGGAGGGCGGGAGGTGGGCACCGGGAGAGGCGGGCACCGCAAGGGGCGTCTTCTGGATGCGCACACGCCCCGAGCCACGGAGGCCAAGCTGAAAACGCAGGACTCCACATGGAGCTCTTCCCCAGCAAGCCCACAGCCCCCCTCAAACCATCCAGAAGGCTGGGCTGGACTGAGTTAGAAACGGGTGTACGTGGAGGCAGAGTGGGGGTGGGCGGCAGGAAGGAAGACGAGGAGCAGGTGTGTGGGAGGCCGAGCCGCCGTCTGCCCCACGATGCTGGAGGAGTCCAGGTACCTGCTGCCCCCGGGGCCATCCAGAGCCCTTGCCACCACTCGCCCAGGTGGGGAACTTGAGTGACAGTGCAGGCCCCACACCTCCCCAGGCCCCCTTGCTCTGGACCCCTGGGTGAGCAGGGGAAGGGCAGTGAGCCAAGGCAGACAGCATGGTCGCTCACACTGATGGGGCTGACAAAGACAGGAGGACAGACAACACACCAACAGTCACCCTTCCCTCTGGCCCACGCCAGCAACAAGCCCTGTCAGCTCAGAAAGCCCTTGTCCCGTGCGTGCTGATAAGCAGGTGGGTCACCTCTCGGCCTGGCCCCAGTCGGCCTGCTCAGTGCCTCAGGCTCCCGGACAGGGACCGCTTTGGGGCAGGCCGGTCAGAAGCCCACCAGTGCCCTGGGTCACTGCTGCCCACTGGCCCCAAAGGCAGGCAGGAAGCAATGGTTAGTTTTCTCATCTTAGCACACAATGAACACAGAAAAGTCCAACACATCCCCAAGAAAATATTTTGACAAAATAAATATTTTAACCTATAATCAGGTATAATTAGTGCTTATAAGGAATCCCAGCAATAATTTAGTGTAATTAAGTACATACCGTATCTGTGATTTCTAACACTTGTGCAGAGGCTGGTGGCTCGCGAGGGTCTCACTCTCCTGGGGCGTAGGCACTGGCCAGCTTGCCTGCCACAGCTCTGCTCCCCTCCCTAAGCACGTAGCCCCAGGGCTGTGCTCCCCAGATGGAAGGCAGCCAGCAGTCATGTGGCCCCTGGGGACAGGAAGGGCTGAGCAGCACCCCCTTAAGGCCACCTGGGCCCCTACTTGGCTTTTTGGGCAGGCCTCAAGCAAGTGTCCCCTCAGCGTCCAGATAGGGGCAGGTTGCCTCTGGGCCTGACGTGCGGGTGACAGCAGGAGGGGCAGCTCCAGGCCGGGAAGGCAGGGGACACTTCCCCGTGTGGGCCAGTGCCTTCCCGTCAGCTCCCAGGTCCACCACCACCTGCTGCCCGGGGCTGGCCTGGTCTCTCCATGGCCAGCCTGGAGTTGGGGGGCAGCTCTGGACCATAGGTCCAGAGCAACTATGGTCCAGAGCAACTGTGCTGGGGTCTCCCCAGGCAGACGCAGGCCTCGCCTTCACTCATGCCAGGAGCCTCCTGTCCCCTCAGGACCCCGTTCTTGTGGGGACTTCCCTCTCTACAAGGCAGGGAGGCTGCTCTTCCCTCAGAGGATGCTGGGCTCAGTGGTTGTGGGTTTACAGCTGCCGCAGGCCTAACCCCCGAGGCCCAGCTACAAAGGGGGGCCCCTGGCCCTCACAGAGACTAGTGCTCGGGACTGCGCCACAGGGCGAGCAGCTGGGTTGCTGGGTCCAGCTGGACCATCCCAGCCACCTTCTCTGCAGCTCGTGTCAAGCTGTCGGACTTCAGACGTCTGAACATCCAAGCGGGCCTCAGGGGGCTCTGCCTGGGAACCACGTCGAAGAGAGGTGTGTAGGCAGACTGAGGGGCAGGGGTGGGGGGGAGAGTGGAGGGCATGGCACTGACTGCCCGGGAGGGCAGGGCCGGAGTCAGGCTGGCTGAGCTCTGAGAGGAGCTTCCTGCATGTCCTCTGAGGACCTGGAGTGTGACCTCCCCAGCTGGTCCTGCCAGACAGGCCCCCAGCCAGACCCCAGGCCTCTCAGGAGGAAGCTGAGGTGCGCGACTGGGCATGGGGCTCTGGGCCGGGCGGCGCCTCGCTCTCCATCGGAGGCGTCCAGGGCCCGGTCCAAATGCTTCTCCCAGAGCCCGAGGCACCGGTGTCAGCCTGTGTCCATGAGCCCCCTGCTCCAACTGCCAGGTGGGAAGGGCTGACGGCACGATGGCTCACAAACCCACCGAGCCTTCCCAAGCAAGCCAGAGCAACTCCTCCCCAGGCGGGGCCCTCCCCAGATGGGGACAACCGTGTGAGGGCAGCGTGCGGCGGGCATGGGGCAGTTTGGTTTCCGGTGGTGTATCTCAGTGGGAGCTAAGCCGTGTGCCTCTTGACCACCCTCCGTGGGGCACATGCCATCCTTGCAACTGCCCTTGGCTCTCCCTCGGCACACCAGGAGCCTGCAGGGACCCCTTGGTCCCGGGCTCAGCTGCTGAGCCGGCTTGGGCGGCTGCCTGGCCTAGCAGCTTAGTGATGGAGAGAGGGTCAAAAGGACGAGAGGCCTCACACACAGGCACCCACAGAGCCTTCTAAAGTGCCGAGCACGCCAAGTGCCACAGGGTGACACGCGTCAGGGAGCAGCATTCCAGGGAGGGAGACCAAGTCCACAGGTGCAGACAAGCCCTTTCTGGAACGGGGCACGGGAGGGTAGGCCGGTCCAAGGAGACCCGCCAAGGCAGGCAGGGGTGGGGCACATGGGGGAAGGGGCTGGAGTCTGACCCCCTTCTCTGTGGGAGGGGGGGACCGGAGAAAAGACAGTCCAGGTGTCTCCTCAAGAAATGGTCCCATGGCTTGCTCTTCTGGGGAGGACATAGAGGCAAAGGGAGCCTGTGGGCAGGAGGGGCGGGGGTGGGGGCGAGAGCCTCTGGTTGCAGCGGGGCTGTCCCACCACCCAGACAGAAGAAGGTGGCTGAAGTTGGTCCTGCCACGTGGGAGGCCTGGGAGCAAACACAGGGGCGCTTCCGTGGAGACACAGCAGTACAGGACCGAGAGGGAACTGCAGATGGGGGGAGGGGGGCCAGTGCCTCGTTTGGACCGGGGGGACAGGAGGTGACCTGCTGTCTGGGGAGCCGAACCGTAGACCAGCTCACAGGGCAAAGAGGGCGTCCTCTGATCGCTCTGGCTTCTTCCGGCCGGAGGGGTTTGAGGCTGGGGCTGGGGTGTCCCCTGGGGGCGAGGGGAGGCTGGGGACCATTTCGGCAGCTTTGGCTCTTTCTTCCAGGAACTTATCGAATTCTGCAATACAAAACCCGGGCAAGGGCCAGGATTGGTAGGGGGTTAGGCCCGCAGCGAGGCTCAAATGACCACATCCCACCTGCTCCCCTTGGAGCCTCCCTCGCTTGTGTCAACAGGGGTCGTGCCCTCCCCCGCCCCGCCGTGCGAGTTCCCACCCTCAGCGCCCTGGCCTGAGCTGCCTGAAGACCCAGCCTGGATTCCCTCCTCTGCCGCCTCCCAGGCAAGTGGGAAGCCTGGCTGCCGGCAGGTGGTACTGAGGGAAGGGGGAGTGAGGATTCCTGCCCCACCTTCAAACTGGAGCTTTTCCATTCTCCCCAGCAGCACTGGGGACAGGACAGGGCAAGCCGGAGGGGCAAGTTCCTACTTAAACTTGACAGAGAACATCCCCCGACCAACTCTCATCCACCACGCAAGGTTCTGCCAGTGGAGGGGGGCTGAGCAGATGGTCTGGCGGTGCAGAAGAGAATGGGGTGGGGGTGGGGGTGAGACAGGAGGAGCATGACGGGACCTGACCTATCATCCCCTGGCCCCACAGAAGAGAGGTCACAGGACGCCAGGCCTGAGAAGTGCCCTCTGTGCCCTGTGGACATGGCACGTATCTTGTCTCTTGGCTGGATTGAGAATTTGGGGGGAGGGACAAACTGGTTAGGACTGTAGGTCTGGGGACCATGCTGACCTCAGGTGGCAGCCTGGACCTACTCATCACTGGCTCTGTGACCTTCTTAAAGTCCTACGTTCTTTCCACCACTTCCCTGGTCAGCACAGGGCCTGGCTGGGGCAGAGCAGAGAAGCCCAGGCCAAGCAAGGACGGGCACCAGGAGATGCTCTGGCAGTAGAGGCCCCGAGGCGGAGGGGGTACCAGTCCCTGTGCACCCCAAGGCCCCCGGGCAGGAGAAGCCAATGGAGGGTGGGGAGCTGGAAAGGTGCTGGCCAGGTCGTACCTTCACTCGTGACGCCTTCCTCCAGGTCATCGCCCTTCTGCGGGAGGAGCAGAGAGAGCAGCATTAGGGCCCCACCCTGGCCACACTGAGCAAACCCTCTCACCTCCCCTTCCTGGGGTCCTGCAGTAGTCAAGTACTGCTTGTGGAGACCCGGAATCCTTGTTTTTCAAAAAGCGAAAACGAACAAAACCAAACCCCCAAACCGAGTAGTTCTCGGCTTTGATCCTCCAGAAGGGCCAGAAAGAAAAATCAAAAAAAAAAAAAAGGCACAGGCTGGTTCTCTGGGTTGGGCTCCGGGCAGGACCACAGCAGGCCGCTGCCCAGCCATGGAAATTCTCCCAGAGCAGGGGCCTCAGGGAAGCTGAGCCCAAAGCGTGCCCAGGGCCCCCTCAGGTGCCCATGTGCTCAGCAGACGCATGGTTCTGGGAACACACTGTCCATGCTAACAGCTGGGAACTGCATGAGGCCTGGAAGGGACAGAGCCATGAAGCCCTGGGCACGCCCGGGGCTGACACCAGGCAGTCTTTGGCCGCTGAGTGCCATCCCACCAGAAACTATGTCCCGCAGCCTCCTGTGGCCCAGATTCGGTCACCTGCTGCCAGTTTCTGAGAAGCCATGGACGCTCTAAGAGCTCTTAACAATGCAGTTTGTTTGGAGAACGCAGTGGTCACTGGGAACAGGGAAGGGAGCTGGACGGGGAAGCGGACAAGGCCTTGGGCTCAGCCAGGAGACCTGGCTTCCTTCCTGGCTCTGCTATGACCTGCTGTTCAGCCTTGCTGGAAGGGTCCCTCCCTGTTTCTGAACCCTCGGGCCCCCCTTGTGAGCTGAGCGCTGTGGTCCTTCCTGCTTTGCTTCTTTCTGCGAGAGGAGCTATTTCTTTTCCAGGCATTCCCTTGGGAAAGAGGTCAGGGGGCATTTTCTTCCTCCCCTGGCATGGCACCCGGGTGTCTGCCTTGCTGAGCAATGAGTGTCTTCAGAAAGCCTGGCCTTGTGGGGAGGTGGCCCCTTAGGGGGCTGTACCTTAGTGTAAGAGGGGGCCAAGCCTGCAGCCCCCTGCCAGCCAGGCCAACCCTGTGGTTAAAGATGCTCTGTTCTGGGGACAGGGTCCCCTGAAGAGGGGGCAGCGAGGAGCAAGAGATGAGGTGTCTCCAGGACTAAGGGAGACTCTGCCCAGCCCATGGCCCTTGGGCAGGCCGCTTCCCCTCCCGGAGTGCATTTCTTCATCAGCCCCCTAGCCAACAAGCCCCGTTCTGCCTCCCACACAGCCTCTGCCAATAGACGTGCTTCATAAGCAGCAGAGGGAGGGACCAGCCACGGCAGCCCTCCTTTCTTGGGACCTGCTGCCACTTGCAGATGCATGATGTCCTCACCTTCCTGTCCTAGCTCTGCGGATAAAGACAATAGTCTCTAGGGCAAGGGTTCTTTCAAATCCAAGCTACCAGAAGATGCTGGGGAAGCGGGAATGGCAGTAAATTGAAAAACAAAACACCCAACTCATGTCCGCATAATTTCACAGTGGAAAGGAAAAAAAAAATTAAAAATAAACCCCACTAGGATCCAAAAAAACCCAAAGCAAAAAGAACCAAAAAACCAAAAAGCAAACAAACAAACAAAAAAACCCCCAAAACCCAAGCACACACACAGCTGCTACAGTAAAGTAAGTGGGGGACAAGTGTGTGGTCCGGAGCCAGCCAGAGCCCTGCCTGCCGCGGCCCCGGAGCAGCCGGGGTTCAGGGGTTGTGCCCGGAGCGGGTGCCCCGGGGCAGCCACAGCCCGGGGTGGGCAGAAGGGCAAGCGAGCAGAGCCGGCTCGCCACCCTCCTCCACCATCCCGTGGCGGGAGCAGCCGGTGGCCCCGGGCCTGTCGTCAGAAGCGCTCTGCCTCGCCACAGCCCGCACGCGAAAGAGAAAAGTCGAGTCTCACCAGGTCCGTCCTGAGCCACACTTCAATGTCGTCCATGACAGAGGGCTGTGCAACGGGGATCTATGGAGGCGGCAAGCAGCGGGTCAGGCAGCCCCACAGCCAGGCGAGGGGAGACAGAACACCGAACAAAGGAAATCGTCAAAAGCAACCCCCAAACGAAACCAAAACGTACACAGAGCAAAAAAACGCATTGGCACAGCAGGTGCGGGCAACACAAGGCAGCCACATATGAAATGGCAGGTGAGGGAAGCAATGAGGTGGCCAGTTCTAAGAAGCAGGGCTGACCG